ATTCCTGCACGGTTCTCATCCATTGTATGGCCTGTGATCTCGAAAATTAGTTTTAAACAGCCATTTTGACTGGAGGACGTTTATGAATTCTGTCTTCTATCTTATTATAAAATGGTGCCAATGCTTGTATTTTTTATGACCCAAATGAAATGAGTTTTGTGTAGTGAACTGAATGATACTGTGGTTGAGGCGGAAATAAGGACAAGAGATGCCAAACCCCCATTTCCTAGCAAGCATGCAATTGGAGGTTTTCTGAAGTCTAATAATCGATTGCTTATACTGGTAATGCTTCTATGCCCAAATATTAGTGATTGTGGACATTTACTGAGAGTTTTTCAATTCTTTTTGACCAACTTATCAGCAGCATTTAGAAAGCATTAAGAGATACACACCTCAAAGTGCGCTTCACCTTAAAGTGGATAAATTGTTTTCTTTTTGGAACTTTGCGGATTTTTTTTGCACTTCATTCCAAGTGTGAAGGAAGAAAAGAAGTTGAAGTACTTAAAAGAACTGGCATTGACGTATTCTTTTTGCCCTTTTCGTGTCTTGTTCTTCAAAAACCTCAAGAGAGGGGTGTATTGACCTTCAAGCTTTTCACTAGTTTTTCAAAATTAATTATGTTTCGCGGTTTGTTTGATTCTCTATGTCTTAAGTTTAAGTTCTGCTTTGCGCTATTAACTCCACATTAATTGTGTTAGCTTCCTACTTTCTTTTCTTTTTCCTTTCTGGTTTTCTTAATCTTTTGGTTATCTGGAATTAGGGATTCAACGCAACATTAACTGAACCAGTGGACACACCAGGGAGAAGGGGTGATCAAATCAAAGAAATGGACCTTAAATTGCATCCAGAGTTGAAGGAACCCTTAAGGGCACTTTGCAATGATCCTAAAACAACGATCGTTGTTCTCAGTGGAAGTGATCGAAATGTCCTAGATCATGTACTCGTAGCTCCTTTTTCTATACTAGTACTTTATCACCATCTTCATATTCTCTTCTAATATGATTATTTGCACAGAACTTTGGGAAGTTTGACATGTGGTTGGCAGCAGAGAATGGAATGTTTTTACGGCACACAAAAGGAGAATGGATGACTACAATGCCTGAGCATTTGAATATGGAATGGGTTGACAGTGTGAAGGTGCTCAAACTGAATTTATGCTTTATTTGATTGTTTTGTCCTCCCTCCAAACTCACTTTGTTGGTGTCCTGTTTGCAGCATGTCTTTGAGTATTTCACAGAAAGAACGCCAAGGTCACATTTTGATCCCCGTGAAACTTCCCTAGTATGGAATTACAAATATGCAGGTATTTTCTTTCTTTGAACAGTTCTTTTAACAAATTAGTCCTTGTAATTGTAAATTTCATATCCTCAATTGACATCCTTACCATGTAACTGTTCCAGATGTTGAATTTGGAAGACTTCAAGCAAGGGATATGTTGCAGCATCTGTGGACTGGCCCAATTTCGAATGCTTCTGTTGACGTTGTTCAAGGCAGCCGTTCTGTTGAAGTGCGAGCGGTTGGCGTGACAAAGGTGAATAGCTGTTTCTTCATATTGCACATTTCTGATACTGCCTTAATGAGTTTAGCATGCTGCAGACACATACTAGATTTGTCTACTCATTTTAATACTTATTTAATTAGGGTGCTGCAATTGATCGTATCTTGGGAGAGATAGTCCATAGCAAAGCCATGACAACACCAATTGACTATGTGCTGTGTATTGGTCATTTTCTCGGAAAGGTAACTTTTCTTCTCACATAATTGCGCATCTCTGACAACCAGAATTCTTTGAGTTGGTTTCAGTTTTTATTTTCACATTTTTAAAGATGCTTAGTCTAAATGGATAGACTTCTTGTCCTAAAACATAAAAATCCTTAATCCTTCAATTCTGCAGGATGAAGATGTGTACACTTTTTTCGAGCCAGTTCTTCCTGTCGATACCTTTGGTATAACAAGAACCAAGGCAGCTGATAGTGTGAAGTTACCGTGTGAAAGAAAATCTTCTATGAAGCTTCCAGCAAATAAGAATGGGCCAAAATCATCCAACAGCCGAGCGCAACGACCACTGTCAAATTCTGAGAAGAAAATTGCCAACCACAACTCTGGGAGTGGGCGGCGACCATCACCAGAAAAAAGTTCGTGGAATGTACTCGATCTTAAGGTAGAGAACTACTTCTCTTGCGCTGTTGGCCGGCCTAGGACAAACGCTCGGTATCTACTTGGTTCACCCGATGATGTTGTCTCGTTCCTCAAGGAACTGGCTGATACATCTTTGTAAAGCTCTTCCTTCGGTGCATCTGATTTACAAGCTTAGAGACCAATTTTGGGTTCTTGAACCGTAGTGTGGTAGCACATTTGTTCCTTACTATTCTTGTTATGGCCTTTGTTTTTTTTTTTTTGGGAAACTTTGATTCGATGGCCACAAAAACTTACTAGAAACCACAGTTACCAATAAAAGATTATAAAAGAGTTACTTTCTTGAGACATACAGAAGGAAAGCGTTTACACCAGTTATATCTCTTCTTTTGTTTTACATTTTGAGCCACTAAATTTCTGCTGTCGGCCAACAGATTAAGGTTTCTTTAGATTTTTCTTTAATGCTTCTTCCTTTAGATTAATTTGAAGATGAATGCTTAGATTTTGGAATAGAAATTCAAGCCATTCTTCCCGCCTCACGGGCCGCGTTTTTAGTTGCCTCTTTGATCTTACATTTCTCCCGAGAAAATGAGTTCCAATTTTGTTTGAGCAGGTTATGTTATAGTGCGACAAAAATCTCTTTCTTTGATTTTGAATATTTCCATCAAAACCTGAGTGATTTTGTTCTGGTTAATTCAATGCAGTGATGACATTATGCCATTTTTTTTTGCTATGAATCGCTGGAGTTGGAAAAAACTGAGTGTGCTAAAAGCGTCACATCATCCATTCTCATAATATAAGGTAAACGTAAATTCCCTATAAAAGAATGAAATTAGTTAACTTGCAATGATACCCATTAATTTTCACTCTTCCCATTTTTAGTCTTTGATTTTGAATTTTTCCTATTCATATAATCTTAAATTAAATAAAAATTTAGCGAACTGTTTAAAGTTAGTGAAAGTGACACTCTAAGAACTCGTTCACTTCGCGAATTTGAATTTTCAATGAGAGCTTTTTATTGTAGTAGAAAAAGTTAGATGTGCCATTTTCTGAGAGCTTTTTACTGTAGAAACCTAAAACTGAAAACTCAAATCGGTGAAATGAACGAGACCTAATACATTACTGTATAAAAGATGCCTTAACAGCAGAAATTAGTCAACCTTGTGAAGTGAAAAGAGTTTCTCATATCACCTTGACAAATTAGAAAAATAAAAGTCATGTTTGAAATTGATCATGTTTTTATTTTTCACGTTTTTAAAAAAAAAATGAAAACGTTTTTAAAACGACGTTTAACACAATAAAGACAAAAATGGAAATGAAAATGATTTTTTGGTTTAATGTAAAATGAGAGAGAAATAAAAAACGACTTTTAATTGTTTTTCATTTTTTATTTTTATTTTTTCCTCTCTGGAGCAGAGAAAAAGAGTTAGAGACATTAATGAATTTTTTAATACTAAAAATAATCTCTTGATAAAACTACCAAACGCATTTTCAAAAATAATTTCTGTCTGCGATTGAAAACGTTTTCATTTTCATTTTCATATAAAAAATAAAATCATTTTGAAACGAGTTCCAAACGCGCCCAAAAAGACTGTTAATTTATCCCTGCACCAACGGCCACACATGAAGGAAAGTATAGGCATACATAAAAGTTTAAATTAGAGGAAAATGCAAACCTCAATAACAAGGTTCATGCGAAGTTCATACTTAAAAAAGTAACAAAACCCTCTGCGTCTAAATTGACTGCTGAGGAAATAGAAAACTCATTCATCAGGCACTCGGTCTCGGATCCAATAAAATTAGCAGTATAATCTTAAAAATATTGTATAAGCTCGGTAAAGAAAGAATTTAGCAACAAATCGACGTATCCAAGACATTCAAGTACACAGCCGCAAGCCTGCGGATTATATCATCTATAAGAACCTATACGAAATTCGTTAAAAGAAAACGGGAACATAACAGACAGCAACTAAATTGCTTCCAAGAACCAAAAATGACAAAAAACCTAATAGAATTACCATCCCTCATTGCCTTCTAAAGAGCAGAAATAATGAGATATAACTAGCAGTGAGTAATGAATAATGAGTAATACTAACGTTCAACTGTAGAGGTACCTGAAAAATATCATCTGATGCTAAATGCAGCGGCGGATCATGATGACATCCAAAAGTATGAAAGTTCCTCATTCTGCAGATGTTTTCTTGTTCGGTTCAAACACGTACTTAATCAGTGACTCCTTGATTGGTAGCAACTCAGGGAACTCCTTCTTCAACTTTGATGTGTCCATCTCGTTGTTGCTTCGAGGGGCCACGATCACCTTGGCTTGCTCTTCTAGTGTGAAGTTTTCCCACGAAAAATCAAGGTCAATGTACTTTTTGTACATCTCTAGGATCTCATTGTGGCTCACGACTCCAGGGTTTGTGAAGTTCCATATGCCCCTCAAGTTCCGCTTTGCCATCTCGATTGAAATCGGCAGAAGTTCATCCAATATGGTCATGCTGTTTGGAATGTTAACCACCTTATTGTAACGAGAAATTTTGGTAATGAAGTTGCGCGGGTTGCTCAAATCAGATGATATAGGCATTCGAACTCTGAGGGTGCAGACGTTGTCGTACTCTTTCAGAAGCTCTTCAACCTGGTCCAAGAAGAAAACAAGAATTATTATAACCTATTTAATTTTAGAATGTAAATAAGGTTTTTTTTTTTTTTTTTTTTTTTATAAAAAAAAAATAAATAAATAGAGATGTATAACTACCATGGCCTTGGTTTTTGAATAGAAAGAACCGGTGAAATTTGGTTTGTCTTCTTCTTTGTATCCTATGCCAGAACCTTCAGGATGGGCAGCATCATACTCAAATATACACCCAGTTGCAAAATTCACCACTAGGAGCCCTTGTTCTCTGCAAACATCTGCTATGGTCAAGGTTCCAGCAACATTGGCCCTAATTGTTTCTGTTTTATGGGATTCACACCAATCAACGTTGGGTCTACCAGTCACACCTGCAGCATTGAATACATGGGTTGGTCGAACATTTTGAATGTCTGCCAAGAGAGATGAGCGATCTTCAAGACGCCCTTTTCCATATTCAAACGGAATCCCTTGTTTCTCACATAGCTTTCCAAGCAGCCCGCCGATCCAACCAGTCCGACCGTAAACCAAGAATTTTAAGGAAGGCTTACGAGGAGAACTGGTGGTTTTGGTAGGTGGAACTAACATTCGGGTATTACTTGAGATATAAGACGCAGATTTCTCCTCTTCAGACCCATCAAAATGCCTCTCAATACCACCAGGCATCATTAGCATTCGTGGATGAGGAAGCAGGGCCCCGGAAACATCACCCCACCAATGGGGATTCTTGGTGTACCATTCTATAGTCTTCTTTAAGCCATCATCCCATGTAGTTCGTTCTGACCAGCCCAAGATCTTCAGCTTCTCGTCATCTAGAAAGTACCTCTGATCGTTAAATGGCCTGTTCTCCACAAACTTGATGCTCGTTTCTGGATCCATCGAGAAAAGTCTGCATATGTCTTTGGCCACATCAATAACTCTCCTTTCCTTTTTAGTCCCAATATTATAAACATGGCCAACCTCTCCCTTGTGAAGAATGACTTCAAAAGCCTCGGCAACATCCTCACAGTACAAGTAACTCCTCACGTTGGAACCATCCCCATGAATTGGAAGAGGCTTCCCCCTCATGGCCAAAAGGATAAACTTTGGAATCAACTTTTCAGGAAACTGATTAGGACCATAAACGTTGTTTCCGCGGGTGGTTATCACAGGTAGCCCATATGACCTTCCATATGCCATAACAAGCATTTCAGCTCCAGCTTTTGTTGCAGAGTAAGGATTTGTTGGTAAGAGCTGAGAGGCTTCATGGTTACCCACAACAGCATCCTCATCAGTCTCCCCATACACCTCATCTGTGCTAACATGGATAAACCTCCTGATTTGGCCAGTGACTTTGCATGCTTCTAAAAGGACATGGGTGCCGTAGATGTTGTTCTTGGTGAACTCAAAGCTATTACCAAAGGAATTATCAACGTGGGTCTGAGCAGCAAAATGCATAATCGTGTCAATTGATTCCGTGATGAGGAGAAAGTTAACAAGGTCAGCACTGCCAATGTCCCCCTTGACAAACTTGAAATTTGGTGAAGATTTCGAGGGAAGCAGATTTTTCAAGTTTGAGCAGTAATCAAGCTTGTCAAGCACAACAATCTTGTAGTCAGGATAGCTGCGGATGAGGCGATTGGCGACATGGGATGCGATAAACCCGGCAGCCCCTGTTATGAGGATGTTCTTTGGCGTATATGTAGCCATGTCAAATCAAATTCTATAACAAAAATGAAAAAACAGATGTAAGTGCTATAAAGTCGGATGATATAAGATGTATTAAGTCACACAAGCGAGTAGGAAATCATTGACATCATTGACCAACATGCAGTGGGATTTGAATGTGCATTATATGTATTTGTATATATCACAACTGTCACTCTGCATGATGGAAATTGAAAGGAGTCAAAATGCATCATTTTGGTTATCGTTAATCCATAAGTTAAATGAAAACTCGACTAGGTGGTTGAAAACATAATTATTTCAGGGAAAAAAGATGGACCATAATGTTAGCTCTATACATATGTAGTTCATTAGAGTCCAAAATGTCAAATAAAGTACATCCCAATTATTTAAAAAAAAAGATTAAAAAAAAGAAATGAAAAAACATATTACAAAAAAGTATCTCATAAACAGTCCTAATGCAGCATACACAAGAACAGACAATTAAAAAAAGGACCTGAATTGAATAACAACCAACAGAAAAAACCATCATAACCAACAGATCAAATGCAAATAACAAAACGAAAAGACAAAGGCAAAAATACCAGATCCACACAGATTCACACATCCACGAACAAACCCGAAACCCCAATTCAAAAAACGCATGCAGATCTGATTTCTACTACAACAAAGCCTTGTTAATTCAACAACAAAGTCCGGATCCAGATCAACATTATCAATACAAAAGAAATGAATTAAAACAAACAACACATGTGATGTCCAAATTCTGCATAGTCATCACAGATCTAACAAATATTGAGTAATACCCAGATCACGTCAAGCTTCAAACATTAAAACCCAGCAAAAATTCATCAACCAATAGACACCAAAAGTAAACAGAAGGTGAGAGTTACTTACGGAATTGACGGAGATCAGGACCGATCAACCCAGATTGGGAACAGCCGAGAGAAAATCCCGAGACAAACTTGAGAGAAATATGGAGAATTTTAGGCAAAGAAATTGACGAGAGAGAGAGATGAGAGAGAGACTTCGATTACAAGCGAGAGGGAAAAATGGGGATCATCATACTTATACGTAAATTGTATATATTATATGCCCATGTTAATCAGTGAGACAATGAAGGAGAGGCCTTTCGGAACGATCTGAGAAGACGGAAATAGCCTTGATGAGTTAGTAATATTGCAATGGCACACGGTTTGTGGGCCCGACCTTAAAGGGAGGGAAAGGCCAAAAGGGGGTGGCAGGCAATTAGCACGGAAAATTCGAGTGACCGTCCTCCCGGGTCGTACTCACTCCTGCACGTGCTCTCACGTGCAAACTTCTAACCTCCAAGATGGCATGAAAATTGTATGGTTATGGTTCCAACTCCCAATTACTAATCACTCCCAAATCAAAATCATTCCTTAGCTTTACGAGTGATTTGAAAGTTATTTTCCAACGTGTTATTATTATTACTAGTCTTTTTACGTGATTAGCATGTATTGTCGTGTTATACCTAAAGAACTTATTATTTATCAAATAATGAGAAATTCATTTATACAATCATTTAAGATTTTTTAGAATTTATTTTAAAAAAGAAATATGTATAAAGATAACTATTGACGGTGGATTTCTGTCAACTAAAGATTAACTCTCCGAGGACACTCACAGCAATCTCTCACGGCTTAATTAAGGGTTAATGTTGCAAAATAATATAGAGAAAACATGAATTTATAGTGGTTCAGCAAGATTTCTTGGCATAGTCCACTTGTGGATGCACTAATACTTTGTTGATTACAATCTCTCTAGAGTAGTAGAATAGTGCGTAAAAAACTTAATGAATTCCCATGGCTCTATTTATAGGCCTTGTACACATGAGAGACCTCCTCTACATTTCCCGAGGAGATCATCCTCTATCCCTTAATTCTAGGATTTGGCAGTTGTATTTTCATGATTACGGCCTCCAGGTCAGGCTAACCACCCTTACCGGCTACCTGATTTCCTGACTGTGACAATAGTAGTTGGTACAGTGCATCTTCCCTTGAGTTGACATGACTATCTTTGGATTAGCCCGGGCTGCTACCTCGACGTCGTGACCGCCACAACTCAAGCGGGGTTCTCGACGCCTGTTACCTTACATGAACTCTCGACGTATTCAAGGCGCCTTAAGTACGATCGTCCCCTCGACGTCGGTGACCGATTCTCGACATGGAAGCCTCGGTGCTTGTCGTCTAAAGGAATGATCGATTCTTCGACCATGGTGTAACAATTACCCCTAGACTGGAATATCACATTGTGATGTTCCAGGCTTATGCAACGTCGAGAGTTCCACGTAGCAACTTCTCTCCTGCAGATTATGGCGGCTGCTTGTAGGTACAGTGCCATCATTACAACGAGTTTTTCAGGCAATAGAGCAGTCTCGTCGATCGTGTCAACGGTCACGTCTCCCGTACCCTGGTGACACGTGCCAGTCGAGGGGGAAGTTACAGCCGTCCGATCAGATTTATTTCTCCCGCTCTTATCCCAGCCTCTTCCGATTCACCGTTGGATGAGGTCAGTTTGAATTCGACGGTCAAGATCTGGTGTCGTTCAGACTTCTTTGAGGCTCCTGGGCTTCCCCCTAGGGTATATATATACCCCTTGAAACAGCTCCATGGTCGTCTATTTTTCAGAATGTCGTTACTCTGCCGGATTTCTCCCAGAGGTTACCGTCTCTGACTTCAACTTCTGCATGTATTTTTTGTCCGTGGTTCTCCCTCTCAATCTTCAGGCTTTTAGACCACTTTTGAAGAACTAGTAAGTTGTTTTGGCTCTCTTTTACTTCTCAGTGTGACTCTGAACTTGGTTCCTACAAAAAATAGCATTTCGAAGAGAACAATATAACCATAAAATGAACTTACTCGAACAATGTTGTTGCTCATGAATCTGGGTTGAATCTCTTTGTGGTAGCACCTGCTTGGGTTTAGTCGTCCAGGTTGGGGTTCTCAAACTCACTTTTGGGTTTTGGAGACCCTTATGGGTTTTAAACCCATTTTTGGGTTGTGTGAATCTGGTATTGAAGTCCCATGCTCTTGGATCATTTTGATCCAAGCATACTTCTCTCTTTTCAAACTTTGTTTTTGACCTCTCGACCATTAGGCTCTAACTTGGCCCTTTCTTGCTTATTTCCAGAACATGTCGCCCAAACAGGTTAGAGGTCGAAAGGTCTTCACTTCCAAGGTTAGGGATGACCCTGAAGATTCTGCGTCGATGAGTACGTCTTTAGGCGACAGCGGGGACTCTCTGCTTCGCCAGGTGGATGAGTACGCTGAGGGGTCGATCTTGACCTCTCAGCCAGACGAGCTAATTCTCCTCGATGATGAGGACGATGGCCTAAGGGTCAGTCCTGTTGGGGGGCATGGTTACGGGGTGGCGTCGACTAGTGCCATCTCGAGGATGGTGACATACGTCAATCTGTTGAAGATAAAGCCCCGGGTTACCATAAAGGCGTTTCATGATGCGGGGATCGACGCCAACAATTTTTATTTGATTATCCCAACCCCCAACGATAGGGCTCATAACTCTCATGCCAATCATATGACCGTATACACGCGCTCCCTTAGTTTTGGACAGACTCTGCCTTTTCGCCCTTTCGTGAAGGCCCTTTGTGGCCTTCACAGGATTTCCCTTGCACAACTGTCACCCAATTGCTAGGTGACAATAAACTCCATGATCATTTTGTGGAGAAAATTTTTTAACCTTGACATAACCGTCGAGGGTTTTTCTACCTAGGCTCCCACTTCAAATCCAAACCTCCAGTCCCCCCTGTCGTGGTCGAGAAGACCTCTAGTTGCCATGGGTGGAAGCCCCAGGTCATTTTCCTTGGTGGCAACTTTAACTCTCATCCGCTCGATGGCGAGCGTCCCCTGGGGACGCAGATAGTATTCAGCAAATATTGTAGGTTTCATTTACATTAAATTTTCAGAACATCCTTTCATTTGTCGAGCTATCTTACATGTGTTGCTTTTTACTATGGGTGAAGTCTGCACTCGACCAAATCTTTCTTCAGCTACCTTAGCGCGTGTCGAGCATATCCTGTCCCTTTTTTACTCCAGCTGAAGCTTCGCCGTTCTCAATACCCCAGAGAACCGTCGGCTGTACGGTTTGGTGGTTACCCTCGACCTTCCCCGTCAGTCTGTTGAGCCCCTTGCAGATCTCCTCAACGGTAAGTTGGACCTTACTTCCCCTCGTCTTTCAGCAGAAGAAAAAGGGAGTGGTCGAGGGATTCGTGGATCTAACATTTTCTTTACCGTGCAGTCGTGTCGTCTACCATGAGGTACGTTGTACCGCCAAAGTCGAGAAAGAGGGAGAGAGGCGCCTCCTCCAGGTCATCGAGCCAGCCGGCAGTCCAAGTCCCTCAAGCCCCCAGCACCACTGAAGTCCCCGTCCGGGGGAAATTTGTCATCGCCCCTGCCACTAAGAGACCGAAGATGGAGGAGCCGCAAGACCCTTCGTCGGTCGAGGGGTCATCACGGGCACTTCGACGTCTGGATAAGGGAAAGGGCGCTGAGGTCGCTGCGAACCTAGAGGTCCCTCATGTGCCTGAGGGGCCCCTTATGATGCAGGGGTCAAAGATCAATGACCCCAAATTCCTAGCTTCGGATGTGGTTGACCACGGCCTTAACTGGGCACTGCCCGTCCCCTCTCACTTCAGCCTTCCCATCCAGGCCATCTACACGTACTTTCACCCAGACTCCTGGGACAAGTTCGCTGGGATGGGCCTCCTAGAGTGCCAGCGCATAACGGTGCTCTGTTAGCGTTTATGCCATTAGGAATAAATGTAACAATATTCTTTGAGATATTTTGACTATTAATAAAGATTTGTTTATTTTATATATCTATGAATTGTCCTCTTTATGTTCATAATAGTTGAATGTATGATAAGCAAACTGAAAGTCTGAGACTGTCATTCTAAATCTTTAGGTCATGCATGTAATGTGAAGAACATGCGGAAGACAAGAATCTAAAGATGATAGTCTAAATCTTATGATCCACGATCGAGGGAATAAAGTTGGGCGCTTTATTCATGTTAAGATTGTTCTGTTGTCTACTTCCTAACGGAGACGGCTTGTCTTGGTCGTCGGAGGTGGGACTCCATGGGTGGAGACATTGATACAGTTTCTAATGGTGAAATCTATATTGGATCGGACCAAAGTTGAATTGTTTTAATTAATAATTCTGTTTGAATAAAACAATTCACTTTTGACGAATTATATGTTGCCATCTTAATCCTGAGATGGATGGTGAACCTGTATACTGGACTTGTATCCTTTGATGTACTAAAGGGAGACATCCTGACATTATGTAAAGGTACGCTTGCCGGTACATTAGGGGTATGATTTATGTATGCGTAGATTCATTATTCATAGATAGTGGAATCCATAGCTCCTATAAAGAGTCAATGATATCCTATTATGCATTATCAGTGGATTGGAAAATATGAGCGCTCAGCCATTGGACTACTCTGTGTTATCTAATGGTTTACTATTTGTAGTGATACGAATAGTATTTTTTTGATGGTATGATAATGGAACATAAGATAAATGTAATCGGGAAGGTAAAACGGAACTAGACCTCAAGTCGATTATGGATATCCTATGGGGATGATACACTAATATATTGAGTCATGGACTAGAGCTAATCAGAGCTTTGTAAATACGCTATATAAATCGAGAGTGTAGCTCCAGGCTTTTAGTGGAATATCGCTGGAGTTTTATAATCATGAGACGGACTTGTTAGTTTACAAGTAGCGTTGTGATTATAGGAGCTTGATTTATATATGTCCATCGGGTCCCTTTGCTAGCTCACATAATTTCCTGTAACGATACAGTGTATTTCCTACACATTGGTAACTTGTGTTATTTTCGTAACGAGAGGTTCAAAGTTAATTCATGACTGAATTAATTGATAAATTAATTCTAGATAAATTGGTTGAATTATTGTTTTAAGAGTTGTTTAATATGGGAAGACTATTATATGACTGTTTTGATAAGGCAATTTCTCTATTGGGTTGCTTGAATCAAAACTGAGGTTCTATGCA